CTTTGCTGTTGTTGTTGCTGCTGTGACGGTCTCGGACGAGATCCAGTCGGCGGGCGGCCCCGGAAAGGGTGAACCTCCTTTCCATCGTCGACTGTAATGGCCGCACACCGCTCTCTGGCTGGTGTGTCCCAGTTGTGGCCTTTTTCCAAGAATCAGTCAGCTCCATTCGTTTTCAAATCATCTAGGGGCTAAACTCACGAAAATCCGGGGGCTGGTTGTACCCATATGGGTTGGTTGGGTTCACGTGGCCCCTAAAGACGTCGTCTGTGGTCCGATGAATTAGCTTCTGTCAACATATAATGATAATAAGGGTGGCGGTCTGTTTTACCCTCGTAAGGAGGCGTCTGCACAGGGAGGCGGCTCGAGGAGCTCGCCGTATCTCCCTGGGATGAACGGGGACCGGACGACCGGGAAGCTTGGGGCTGGGGGGCAGGGACAGGGAGTGAAGAACGAGACGGAGCGGCCTGGTTCAACGACATGGTGGGCCTCGAACCCGATGCCGACGGGCACCTGTTGTCTTGCTGTTGCCGCTGAGCGGACCTGGGAGGAATGGGGGGAGGGGCGGGCGCGGCGAGTACCGGCTGGCCCATGTGTTGGCCACCAGAGGGCGACCGAACGTCTCTGGGAGGTTGCCTGGTAGCAGGCAGGACAAATCCTCTCGGGGGAGCTCGCAAAGGGGGCCCAGTGGTCCCGGAGCGTGACCGGTTGGGGCGGCCACCGTCAAAACCCGGTTGGGCGAAAGGAGGGTTGGGAGGCCAAAAAGCCGAGTGCATGCCAGGCATGGGCGGAGCCGACTCCTCGGCAAGCGCGCTGAGGCCGCGAGCCCTTTGCGGACGGCTGGGCGTCCGGCTTCTCTGGCGAATTGCCAGGGCTGGAGCCGTCACCTGCCGCTCAGGGCCTCGAGCTTGGCCTTGGGCGTCGGGACGAGGGTTGCTCGCCGCCCTGCCTCGAAAGGTAGGGAAAGGTCCGCCGCCTGAAGTTAATGTTAGCTTAAATTACTGGCGACGAACGATCATCGGCTGAGATTGGTTTAGCGAGTTCTGAACTTACCAAGGATTTCGTCCATGTCCTCGATCTCCTGTAAGACCGCGGCGCGCGATGGACCGCTCAGCTCTGTTTATCGTGTCAGATACGGTGACCTCTAGATGGATTATGGCGTGGCAGTTGATCGATAGAAAAGATGGAACAATCTCGCACCCAAATCAAGGTGAACTTGTTTGGTCTTTTCTGTCGACCATCTATGGGGGTTAGCAGGAAGATCCAGCATCGATTATTGCTTACCTCCATTGGGAGGTGACATGCTGATTGTCAACTGAGTTAGCGTTGCGGAAGGGAAACGAGAACTGGCGGAGCAGGAAGGGTTGCATGGTTTTTGTAGGAGGTTCAGTTGGCAGTGAAGAAAACCTGAAAGCTGAGCTTGACTGCCAAGTGAAGGAGGTGATGGCCTGGCTCTCAAGAGAACCTGAGAACTTCAACCTGGGAAAAGAGTGGGTGAAGGAAACCCCGGGAGCTGGGCTTGACTGGGAAGGGAAATGAAGGATGTGAAGGGCCGACTCTCGACTGACAACTGGCAAACTGCGACTGGAGTTCTTGTCGCAGGGGAGAGAAAGAAAAACCTGAAAAAAAGGAAAGAAAAAACTTACGTGAGGTGGTTGTTGTGAGTCGAACTGATCGCTGCAATTCAGGAGAATACTGCGGCACAATATTTCTTGGGAAAAAGGAAGTCTTGGGCTGGAGTACAAATGAGTGCGCGGTCGACGAAGGAGAAAAAAAAGGGTCGAGGAAGAAGTTCCTAAATAAGCGACGGGTTTTTATTCGGAAATTTCAACACTGCGTGTCTGCTCAGGTTTTTGATCACTCCAGGTTCGTTGCCTTCACAAGATGGGATGAAGGATGGCAGGAAGGCAAGTGCTCGATTTGACAAACCTTGGACGCGTCGACTAGCGTCTACACGCAACCTTTGGTCCAGGTTTATCTCTGGCTTCAAAATTTCGGATGAAAAGGCATATGCGCACAGTATTCTGGGTCGGCTTTTCTTCATATTGTCTGCCACAAGATCGCGAGTCGTCGAAGAAGAAATCGAAATTGGACAGTGTACTATCCGTTACGCTGGAGAGAAAAGGCCGTGATAAAACTCTCATATGCCTCTTGTGAGTTTCGAAACACAAACACTCGAGCCTATCCGTGGGTTTCTGGTTCCGGAGAGGTCTCCAAATGTATTCGGAAGGCGGGTTGAATACATACTGGAACGTGGGAGCCTTCACGAAAGGTGTATTCCGTCAATGATTTCGGTTCATTCACTCCTCTGGCAGGTGCAACCTGAAAATGACATCCGGTCAAGGGCACCAGTTCCGCGCACCTTCCTTAACCTCTGTGATTGAGGAAGGTACTTGTGAGTGAAGGGGCTCAGGTTGAACTGGACTTTGTCAATTTGTTACAGACGGGACGCCCCAATTTTGTGCAGCGCCATTTAGACTCAGGTTCCTCTGCTCCGACGGACGTATCAAAGTTCGACACTGACTGCTCGAATCTGGGGGCAAAACGTAGAAGTCAAGAAAGAAGATCACCGAGCAGAAATGCTTGATCTTGATTCCATGTAGGAAACGCCGAGGTGACTGTCTTTTCGGCGGCCCTTCCACTTGGTCCTCGTTGTATCCTCGATCACCCTCATACAGGTAAGGGCAACTAAGATATTTCCGCCAGTATCACCCGAACGCTTTGATTTCTGAAGATTTCAGGCCCTTTAGAGACTGCAGAAAAGCGAGAGGTTCAGGACGTCTTCAAAAGAGTCTGAATCCGCAGGCGCCGATAGCACAGGGGTGGAATGAATCCTCAACAGCCCCGCCGAAGTCAGAATCGCAGCTACAAAAGGGCGCCTGCCTCTTCACTCTGGGCTATCAGTGTGACGCAGATTATTATCGCATATTTTGCGAAGGATCCAGCGAGCCCGTCGAAAATTAAGTCCAGCGGCACCAAGGGAGAGTATATGGGGTGGTAATTCGGAATCCTTGACCCAGAAACAGCCTACATCATCAGGAAGGAGCCTTCCTCTACATATCGAAAGTGTTGTTTGAGCCTCTAGCCTCGCCCAGCATGTCACGATCCTCACAGTCTTGCCGGGACTACGCTTTTTGAGCAGCTGATCGACCACTTCGAAAGCTTGAGCAACGCCTATTCCTTCTCCAATTGTGGTGTTGTCTATCTCAGGTATGAATCACCCCATCAATCCTGCTCGATGTGCTTCTATTGCAAGAAGTTTCCGAGGTCTTTCGTCAACTACGGTCAAGTGTACTTCAGTAACAAGACCATCAATCAAGGCCTTAGATTCCCTGAATGCACGTCTCCCCACTTTCGATGCAGATGGTAAGGACTTGAGGTTGTTGTGATATAAATAGAGGTCACCGGCGCTCCCACTCTAGAGACTGAATTTGAAGCTACAACGTAAGTCGCTGTAGGACATCACACGCCTTGCCACTCTTAGGAGTTGAAGTCAGCTCGCCGCTTAGAACGCGGCATGCGCAACAACAAAACCGAGTCGTCATAGAGCCGGCAAGGATGACGGCCGGCACATTTTTACGGATATCGGCGCTTACATCGATGCCCCTAGGAGTCTCACCGGCTGCTATCCCAAATGACCCTTCGAACACCAAGACATCCGACCTGAGCTATGAATCAATGTAAGCAGGTGCTAACCCATTTGACATGGTGAGGACGGGGAGTAATGCTCCAAGAGACAGAGCACGGGAGATCCATCCTGTTCTTGCCGCTTTTGGATTTTCTTGCAAGCTAATGCCGTTCTTACGAAGAACAGGAAGGCACGACAGTTCGAATCACTTTACTCAGATTCAGGTCACCCTGCAATTAGGCAAATGCTTTTTTTTTTTTTTTCGTGGGCAGTACCTTGCCTTCTCTCCGATGATTGTAGTATCCCCCCATCGCAGTCTCTGCATACAATTTAATGCTAGCTTGATACTCATCGCATACTACCTAGTTAAGATCCGTTCCAAAGTGCCTCCAACTTCACAAAAACAAAGTACGATGGCTAGCCTAGGCTTGGAAAGTCATTAACGATATTCATTATGACAAATTCAAAGTAAGATCATGGCATGGTTATGGAACAAAACGAATCACTTAGATATAAACACGCCTAGGAAGGTTGGCCCGAGGTCTCAGCTAACAACCAAACCAGTACAGGTATTGGCTGTACAGTCTTTCCAACTGCTCCTTCTCTTCTTCTCGAGGAACGGTCTTGCACTCATCGCTTCCGCTTTTCTTGGATTATTAAGTACGGAAAAAGGAGGTCACACTCGGCACAGGTCTTCTGGACCAAGGCACATAAAAGCCAACTTCTTCCCTTGCGAGTCTCAGTTCCAACCCATTCATCAACCACATAAGTATTCTTCTGCATCATTGCACCATCAACTTACTCATTGGAAACTCTTCCAAACATCACAATCGTTGCTCGAATACTATCATTCGTTTCTTCCATTCCCCAGCTCTTTTTGAATAATCTTCTTGGAAATCGCAACTCCGCTTCCACGCACACTCAAGATGCCGCCATCCTCCACCATCCCTATCCCGGTTCTACCAGCTGATACCCATTTCCGCTCACGATTCGAAGAATTATACCGTCGAGCAGGGCATACGCTGGAGTTCCGGCTCCAAGAAGCACTTGTACGGCGTCGAGCAAGGGAGTTGGGTATAACGCCATCAGCAGTATCAAACCCAACACGGCAAAATGGGCCCGAATATTTCTACATCGTTCCTCCTGATGATGGCGAAATTACCCAGCTTGCCGATAATTCTGCTAGCCAAGTTTCACTTCTGAACGAGTCACCCTTTGCCCTTCGTCCCCGTCCCCGGTCCCACTCCCGCCGTCCAGCTCACATCGCCATTCAAGAATCTGCTCTCCCTCCAGGAGAGCGCATTTCCTCCATTTCCAGGCGGAACAGAAGCCTTTGGTTGGGCCTGTCCAGCCGAAGTGTGTCGCCATCGACTTCGCCGTCACCTACTACTACACAACCCTCACGGGCAACTACAGGAGCGCGGACACGGATCCCACGACACTTGCGGAGACGAGTGGATAGAGAGGTCTCCGAGGTCTTCAGGGGCACAAGAAGATCTGAGGTGCTGAAAGGCTGCTTGAAGGGTTGGAAACAACGCATCAGCACCCGCGTCCGGTGTGAATATGACTACAACTCTCTGATGGAGCAAATTGAGCCGCTTACGTGCCTGGGCAAGAAGGAGGAAGAACTGGAGTTGCAAATCCAGATGCTTCTGGCCTCATTGAGGAACAGGAGGCTGACGCTTCAGCACCTGGTCATGTATTATCTCAGTCGAAGGCATGCTTGCAGGCCGGAGGAGGATCTGGTGGCATCGTTACATAATTTTTTTTTTGGATAATTTGCAGCTGAGCCGCGTGGGAAATACTGTTGAGACACGGCGATGATTGGGTTGGATTAAACCATGAGCATGTTGTTCTTCGTGAGGGTCTGGCGGTGCTGGAGTTCAAGGCTCGAGACCTTATGGAGTTGTTTGAGCTGTGGATTCAAGTGGCTGTTGGTCAAGAACGAGAAGGCGCCGAGCGGTCGTTTGGTACTGTGTGTCATCAACAAGTCCGCAAGCTTGGGAAGGGTAATGGGAGCAAATGTTGGGGGAGTTGAGTTCTTTCAGCAATCAAGGTATGAGGGAGCTGTGTATTGGACTTGAGAGAATTCTCAAAAGCCCGGAGTCAGCCAGACGAGGAGTAGTCATGTTTTCAATAATGAAGCTCACAGTGTTATGTTTCAAAGGTGTGTTCGTTCTACTCTGTATATCCCAGCGTTGAATATTGCTTGTTAGCTATATTGCCTCAGGGTAACATACACAAATTCCGTAACATTCTGTGTGTAGTGACTTGAATATCGTCCTATTTCATGAAATAAGGTCTTCACAAAGATCGTGTTTGAGATAATCGACGTGAGATGACTTGTTCCAAGATTGACTATCTCGAACACAGAGAAGTTCTCACTCGATGTAAAAAGACACTGGTATTATATGCCTTCATCATTCGTCCCATTACGTGTACCCATCCTAATTCAATCACATGAACGAATTCGATACCACAGACACCATGAAGAAAACCACATCGTGAAAAAGACAACGCTTTCCCTCCAAACTAACCATAAAGCCGTGCTGGCAATTTCAAACCATGCTCACCCAGTTCCTGTGCCCCCAAACACCTATTCGATTCCCACCATCCACCCCCCCCCCCCCCCCAAGCACATT